GAAACACAACCTGAGGGGCGACACAAACGTTAGCTTTCGGTGAACGGATCCAGAGTTGGCGAAAGTCAACTAACTGCTGTGAGGAGATTACGCACATTCGGTAAGAGCTTTCGTGGTTCCGCGGACTGCGCTTGGATGGAGTCCTGCTGACGGACGGCGGCGTCTCTCCCATCCTATGGCTCCTCTGCGGGCCTCGCTTCCGGGTCTCCCCCGCTCTGTCTTCGTCCAAGGCAGACCTGATGCCGCTGAGCACGTTGCGGGGGATACCGGAGGGGGATACAGATGGAATAAGATCTACAAGGTTGCAGCCTCAGGCCATTCCTTACGGTGTCTATTTTTTTAGATCTTTTTTCCCCCCGAAGGGACGACCCAAAAAGGGATTCACAAAAAAGATGACCCCCTTCTTATGGTGCTGGTCGATCTTTTTTCTCTTCCGAGTCATCGACAGAAAAAACGAGACCCTGCAACGGCCGTTGTCATAGAATTCTACATAACCCTTCCACCGCTTTGGTTTTTCGGCGATATATCCCCACAGAGTGAAGCAGCAGCAACTGTAAAGCTATCCCTCGCGAACTGTGGGTATGGTCCATCTTGTGTGGCGGCTGATAGAGACCACGGGGCGATAGGAGGCACGGAAACTGAGGTGGCGAGAGTCAACAGCACGCTGAAAAAATGCCCACCGCTCCAGCCAACTCCAGCAACCAGTTTTTTTTTCTCTTTTGCCCGTGTCGCAACTTTGTTTAACGGTACTCCCTCGCCACCCACTAAAGCAGGAGCGATGACAAAGGTATGCGACACAAGCTGTGTGAATGATCAGTCTTGTGTGGTGGCTGATACAGACCAGGAGGCTTTACGGTGCTCAGAGATTGTGAGCGCGAGAGTAGCGGACAGGCGGGAAAAATGTCCCGCCGCATCTTCAAGCAGCTTTTTTTGCTTCTGTGCCCGTGTCGCAACTTTGGTTTAGCGGTACTTCCTCGCCACCCACCCAACCAACAGCGATGAGAAAGGTATGCGTCACGAGCTGTGCGTATGGTTCGTCTTGTGTGATGGCTAATACAGACCAGGAGGCGGTAGGGCGCTCAGAAGTTGGGTTCGCAAGTTGACAGTACACGAAAAATGACCCACCGCTGCTGCGGCCAGGCTCTCTCGGCTTGTTTGCCATTTTTTTCCCGCACACATCGGGTCGTCCACGTGGTCCAGCCGAATGAAAAAACAACGGCTACCGCCGGTGCTACCGACC